CGCGGCCGCCCCGCCGCTGCGCGCCCTCGCGTCCAGCTCCTTCGCCCGCGCCTCGAGCTCAGCGGCCCGCTGATCCAGTGCGGCCCTCTCGGCGCGGGCGCCTTCCAGATTACGGCGCGCCTGCTCCTCCCGCGCTGCCTCGCGGAGGGACAGGCTGTCCGCCAGCCGCTGCGCCGCGGCCTCGGCCTCCTCGAGAGCTCGCTCCCGCTCGGTGAGCGCGTCCTCGTGGAGGCGGAGTGTGGACTCCTCTTCGGCGCAGGCGGCCTCGTGCGCCGCCAGCGTTGCCTCCCGGATGGCGACGACGGCCTCGCGGTCCGCCAGGTCTCTCTCCCTCGCGCGGGCGCACTCTTCCAGCGCCTTGGAGCGAGCCTCAAGGGCCTCTTCGCGCCGCCGGGACGCCGCCTCGTTCTCCGCCGCCCGCCGTTCCCGTGCAGCGTCGGCGTCAAGGACTCCCCGGGCGGCGTCGAGTTTCTTCTCTAGCTCCGCCGCCCGGCTCCCGTATTGGAGGCGGAGATCGTCCCGCGCCTCGTTGAGCACGGCGGTGGCGATGAGGGCAGTCTCCCGCTCCTCCTCCACCTCCCTGGCGATCTCCGCCAGCTCCCTCCGACGGGCCTCGAGCTCTGAGGCGTGCCGGCGGTGTGCCTTGCGGCCCGCCTCCACCATGGCTTCCACCGAGCGCCGCCCCTCCTCGACGCGCGCCCACGCCGCGTCGAGTTCCGTCCGCTCTGCCTGCAGGACCTCCATCTGGGCACCTAGCCCGTCCAGCACCGTGGTGTTCGCGGCGGCTAAGGCCTGCAGGAGGGGCTCCGCGTTCAGTGGGGCAGCGGAAGGCAGAGGGGAGATCCGCCTCGGTATGGGCGCCGCGCGGCTCGGCCCGCCGATCGACGTGCCGGACCCAGGGGCGTCCCCCGAAGCTGGCTTGTCCCAAACGTCGCCCGAGGGGTCGGGCCCGAGCGGTGCGCCCGCGACCTCGTCGTGGGTGGCCTCGGAAGTCGTCGTCGCCTCGGGCGGAGTCGGGTCGGGGGCTTGGCAGGCCGCTTGACGTGCGCGCGCCACCTCCGCCTCCCGGACGGACTCCTCGGCCCGGCGGAGTTTGGCCTCCTCCCGAGCGGCTTCCTCAGCCTGGCGAACCCGGACGGCCTCCTGGGCAGCTTCCTCGGCTTCCCGGAGGCGGTCTGCGGCTTCTCGCCGGTCAGCTTCCTGCCTCCGGGCCTCCGCGGTCGCCGTCTCCTCGGCCTCAGACCGGCCGGACTTGGAATGGCGGGAAGGGCGCGACGGGATCTCGCTGAGGCAGAAGAAAAACCAGAAGACAAAAAACGGGTGAGTGAAAACTTGCCTGGGGAGATGGGAGAATGAATACGGCCGCAGTGGGCGCAGGGACGAACCTGCGAGGAGGTCGGCTAAACGACCACCTCGGTGGGGAGATGAGGTTTCCCCGGTATGGTTCGGTTCCCCCCATCTTGCGGGGCCGCTTCTTTTTTCGCTCCCCCTCGGGCTGCGACGTCGGCACAGCACCCTCCGGGCGCCTGCTGCTGGCACGCACCGCCCCGCCCCCTCGGGGAGGAGATGGGGAGGGGGTATCCTCCTGTTTCCTCTTCCCCCGGGCGTCGGTAGGGCGGCTGCCCCCCGGGCCCCCGTCACGGGGCCCAGAAGCACGACCCCCTCCCGGGGTAGATTGTTCCCCCCTGCGGCTCCCGCCCGCGCCATCGTGGCCTCGGGGGGCCCGCTCCCCCGACGCCCCGACCTCCTGCATGATGGTCAGGATGTTGGCGCGCTCTGGATCGCAGCAGAGGGGAAGGACCCCTTGAGGGATGAGGGATGCCTCCACGGAGCTGAGATTCAGCACCCGTTGGACCACTATCCTGAAGTCCTCAGGGTCCCAGTCCCATTTGCGCCCCTGGTGGGTCCTCATGATGTCCTCGGGCCCGGTGTACTCCCAGGCGCCCCGGGCGTGCCGCTGGAGCGGCGCGATCCGACGATGAAAGTAGTCGCCGAACACCATGGCCCCCGTGAGCCCCTGGGATCGCAAACCAGCCAGGCGGTCAAGAACGGCGTCGTAGCCGTCTCCCAGATCTACCGGCGCCCGCCAGCTGGAGGCCTGCACCGGGGGCTGGCTCGGAAGTCGGAGGCGCGCTTCGTCGGCGAGAGGGGTGTAGAACCAGTCGCTCTTCCAGTCATCCCACTTCTTGAGAAGGACGCAGGGAATGTAGCGGTTCAGCACCGGCCCCCGCGGCTGGAAGTAGCAGCCACCGACTACCGACGGTGGCGACACCGGCTGTACGGTGAAGAACCACTGGAACAACCGGAGAGATGGGCGCACCCCAATGAACATCTCGCACAGGTGCGCGAAGATGGCCAACGTCATTACTGCGTTGGGGGTGAGGTGCGCAATCTGGAGATCATAAAGCTCTAGAACATCCATGAAGAAAGAAGAGAATGGCGGGACCAGCCCTGCCATTGCGAAGGGAAGGAAGAATACGGACCGCCCCGGATAGTGTGGCGCCGGGCGTCCCTCACCCAGCGCAACCACCTCCCGGCCGGTGGCAGATTCCGGCATGAATCGGCGCGGCAGCCCGGCCTGCCTCTCGCTCACGATGCGAGAAGGCGGCAGCACGCTACCGTCGAGCGGTGCGGAGCCCCGTGCCATAACGCCGGCGGAGGAGGGGTTTGAGAGCGAGTGAGTGCGGCGAGGGTAGGGCACAGGAAACGAGAAGTTAGAGCGCAAGCGGCAAAGGCAAGGGGAATAATGGCGAGAGGAAGGAAACGAATCTCTTCCTAGGCGTCTTTATACCCTTGCCAAACGCTATGCCCGGCTCCTCGCTTCCCACGCCCACTATCTCGCCCCCTCGTTTCTCGCGCCCACTCCTCCATTAATCCCGCTCGCCCGTTTGCGGCGCACGAGGCGGATGTGCGGCCGTGGCAGTCGAGATGGGACATATCGTGCACGCGTTAACTACGCTCGCCGACCGATGCACCATCATCACATCTCCAGGCGAAACGAACCGGCTCGTCCCAATTCGCGCGCTACTCAAGTAATGTAGCGGTCTTGAAGAAAGCCGCTCATTATTGTCGGTCGGTTTTTCCCTTGCCGATGCGCGCGATTTGCGACCACTGGATTCCTGTCCGCCTGTAGAGACCGGCCCCACCTGTCACCAGGCCTGAGGAGTGGCGTCACGCCCGAGCGTTTTCCTCGAGGAGGGCGATCGTCCTGGCATAACGCCGGGGGCTACTGTCGGTGACATGGGACCGGGGATATCTTGACTAGAGGTTTGGGGCAGCCGCGGTCACCCGCGTGGCCTGACCCCCTCGGGGGGGGGGGGGGGGGGGTCGGGCCCGAGGGTGATGAGGCCGCCCCTCCCTCTATCTCCCCGAGGGGTCGGGCCGCTCCCGTTTCGACCCCCCGAGGGCTGGGGCGCCCCGACCCCCTAGGGGTTTGGCGCCACGTGTGTGGGTTAGGTGAGCACAGCGGCGCTCACCTAACCGCGTTTATTGCGGGTTGGACGAGCGCCTCACGCCGCATTTAATGCAGCATAGCGCATGCTTATCCGGTCCGTGATCGGTCGCAGTGTGTGACCGGTCACAGACCGGTCAGATCGCGGGTTAGGGGGCAACAGGCGGCCTGACACACGCCTCGCCCCGTCCCGTCGGAATGATGAGAGCCTCCAGGCACTCGTCCCTAGCCGGAGCCGGCGTGGGAACTCCTGGAGTTGGCACGTCAGCCCCGGCCAGATACATTCCAGGCTTCATCGCAAGCATTGCAAGGAAGTCATTGTATGAAGAAGGGCAGACGTGTAGCATGCTAAACTGACACGTGGAGGACAAGAATGACCGGTCTGTGACTGGTCTGACGCCGGTCGCGTCATCAGCAAACAACCGTGCTTCCACGTTGCACCTGCTTCCGGCGGAGTGGAGGTTGGTATGACCCATCCCATCGGAGGGTCATTCGGACAGCAGCCATTGCAAATCTCCGCCCATTAATGAGGGAGGACAGGGTTATCCCGGTGTCAGACGAAGGTACAAGCCATGTTTTGGTCAAAGTAGGATGGGTCCCCACCCAAAAGAAGGGTAGGTAGAAATGGTGTATGTGGTATCCCCTTGAGATATAAAAGGAGGACCATGCCTACCAAGAGAAGGGACGGACAAAAAGAGGGGAGGGGACCTGAGCTGGTAGACTGGAGAAAAGAGGAGTGAGAGGGGCTCTAGAGTTTGAACTCTCTTGCTCTCCAGCTCTTTGTAACTCCTTCATACACAGATCCACCAGAACACAGGAGTAGGGTATTACGCTTCTCAGCGGCCCGAACCTGTCTATATCGCCCGTGTCTTGCGCATTTACTCTCTCGCGAACCATTCCACAGATCAAGGGCTTAGAACCTCACTTAGCGCCCCCGGCCGAACCGGCAAAGGGAGGCCCGCGCGGTCTCCCGGTGAGGAGCCCCACGCTCCGTCACAGTAGTATTCACAAGGCACTCCATGACAGCGGTGCTTGGCGGGGTGCGAGATTGTGGAGCTGTATCATCCAACTTGGGAACATCTTCCTGATTTGATGGCATTGCAGCTGGCTCACCCTGGAAGGTTGGTTGCTTTTCTGTGTAGGTGCCAGCACGCTGAGCTGTTTCCTGGGTTTGCATAGCGCCCCTGATAATGCTGACAATATGGTCACTGACTCGTGCATAGCATGTTTGCACCCTCCTAATATTCTTCGCAATATTGTCAGCACAAATTTTTGCCTGACGATCATATTCTCCAAGTGCGTCAAGGACACGCTTATTCTGTTCAGCTTGAAGGCCGTATATATGGGGTCCAATGGTGTCAAACATGCTTGGGAAATTAATGTGCACCGCTGTGACTAACTCATCTGCAAAAGGGGTGCCAGCATTGTCACCACGTGGCTCTTTGTCCTTATCGTAGTCTGGGTGACTGTAGCATGAAGCAAGAATGCCATTGAACTTGAAAAGTATAGATGACATGATGTTAATGCACCTGTCCTTGAAAAAGGATAGAAAAAGGAAATGGCATAAATTCTTCCATTGAGCTGTCCAAAGACAATTTTATCTTCTTCATCCTTCACACGGTCTCCCTGAGATATAGCCTCCACCAGATCCTTTGTGTACAACTGAATACGTGGTGTATGCAGACGATCGATGGTCAATCCTAGTTTGATGACATCAAGGTTGTCAATGTACAACAGCTGTCCATTACAAAAGATTAATGAAAAACAGTTATAATACTGTCATGATGAGAGAATTCATATTTTGGCACCCAATATGGCATGATCAGTGAAGTGGTTGCTGAAAAATAATGAACTATGGAAAAATAAATGCATACAACAAGAGACGCCACGGATGAGCATATGTAAGTTTGCGAAGATTGGTGTCTATCAGTCTTGTGCCATAAGACCAGACTATCACGTAATAAATCAAAAACAGCCTTTGACTAATCGATCCTCGCCACCCTAGATAGATCCATGCCAAGCCATGCGTCCTTCTTTGTGATGTAGAAACTAGTTGATGGGAGCAGCAACTTGTTGGTCAAGATCATGATGAAGAACCGAACAGCTGTGGGATCATCTTTCCGATGTTCTAGCTTACTTTTTAACATTGGTACAGAAATATTAGAGCTTGGAGGCACCCCAAGCTCATTGGCCAACTGTGCAAATGCAGCTGCCATGCATTTTTTATCAGGATATTGTAACGGTTCACCACCAAAAGGGGTGCCCAAGACAATACTGATCTTCCATGGTGTTATGGCAATCTTCTTGTTTTCAGAAATTTGTATGGTCATTGTTTTCGGGTCAGTCCGATCCATGAGCCAACGGATCAGGTCAGGCTGCTCAAAACCATCAAGCGTCATATCTGCTAGTTGACCCAGTCCGAGCCCTGACAATGCTTGGCGATGTGAAGGTGACAACGTGGCACAAGCATCGAACACAAACTTCGGGCTGCACCGGGTGTAAATCGTCTGTTTGTTCACGTGGGACTGCAATTTTATATATGACAAACATATCAAAATAACATGCAAAATGATGATAACGGTAATGAAAAAAACACTATTATTTATGTCTAGAACATCATTATGCATTATATAATATGAAAACATTAAAAATATGAAACTTCCGAGGAAAAAAGCGGAAATGCATCTGAAATATAATTGAATCAGACATTGTTGGGGGGAAATTCAAAATTTGATGGTACAACAGCTGTACGACAGATAATTACATACTAATGATATACCCTCATAAACCAAACTACATAATGGGAAAAAATTTGGGGACCATCTTTGGACACTCACAGGAGATCCATCATCAACCACGTGTGGAATGTTCAATATGACAATGTTATAAAGGTAAAATCTCCGTACATCAGTATGTACCATTGAAAATGACAACTCCCGATGCAGACAAATAAGGAATAGTACACACAAAAAGAGAGTAGAATTTTGGGTTGGGGGATGGGGGGGGGGGAGGGGGAGGGGGAGGGGGTATCTCACCTCTACCAACTCAGCATCCATTTGTGATGCATCCGCTTGCTTCTTGCGTCTAATATTTTTGGCGCCGTCATCTTTGGTTGGTTCTGCAGGTCGGGCTCGCTTGGTGCCGGCAGGGGGTTGTCGAGCCGATGGCTAGGAGTCGGAAAGCAGTATCTCACACTCGGATTGTGATCCAGTGAATTTGATACTCCTGACTTTTTCTGGCATCTTGCCCTTCCGCTTCATCTACAGAAGGATGGGTGAAATTAAAAGAACCATGAGCAACTTGAATCTATCCAAAAAGAAATGCACGGATTGATGAAGCTATGCTTGATGATAGTTAAATAGATAGATGAGATGAGTATGTAGGGCTGGGGGATGCAGATCTCACGTTTTCAGGATTCTTTGAAACAATGGTGGCTGGCCGTGGATTCTGAAGCCACCGTCACCGGCGGTAGGCTGATCAGTCCGGCGTCGTCGGAGCAAGCCCTTCAGGGGACGCAGAATCAGGTCGTCGGCTCACCCCTTCGGTGTCCTCCGTCACAAGCCAACGGTCACCGGGAACCGCCGCCGCCGCCTGCAGAGCGATAAAAACAGAAAGGATATGGAAGATGGGGAATCAATCTGATTGACTGGTTAGTCCAAGAAAAAAAAAAGCGTGCCTTTAGGAAACGTTCGTTGCTATCCATCCAGGATCGAAAGAATATTGTTAAAAAAAATAGCAATTTAAATATTTACTACAAATTAAAATAATTCTCATGGATTCGACATTGGCCTTTATTGAATATAAATAATAATTAAATAGGGTGGCAAATATTATGATTATGGATAGACTTTTATAAAACTCAGTACTATTATTTGTAATATATATAAAATATAAAAGGACTTTAGATTAAAAAAGCAACATATGTACATGCATACGGAAATTTTGTAGCGGCTGATTCATAGTAATTAAATTACTATCAGTACAGATATGGAGGGGTTTGGGCAGATAATTAAACAATCAATCAAGGCATCTCCTATAATAAGTAATTAAATAAGGTGGCAATGATTATGATTATGAATGGATTTTATAAAACTCAAAACAATTATTTCTAACATATTTAGCGGCTAATTCATAGTAATAAACTTACTATTGGTATAGATACTGAGTGGTTTGGAGGATAATTAGAAATAAGAACCAACGTTTCCCTTATAGTAAATACATTAATACAATAAAAATAGTTCTTCATGTAGTAAACCGGTTACTAACCGAATTAAAGGTTTGGACAGACTGAAAAACATGCGCCAGACTGGGGGAGGTGGAGGGGTCCATCATAGTAAATACTTTACTACGATGACAATACGTGTAGGGAGAGGGAGGGGGACGCGGGGGAGGGGGGGCACCAGGTTAGTTGGGGGGTGGGGGTGGGGGCAACGCACCCCATAGTATAGTGTGTATATATATATATATATATATGTATATATATATATATGTATATGTATATGTATATGTATATGTATATATATATGTATATGTATATATATTGTGGAGATTATGGATACCCCATATCTACACGGCAGTTATAGTCTAGTTGGATACAGGGTACCAAACTTAGATAGAATATCTTTGTGAGGACTCGGGTTAGTTTCTAAACTTGTATGTCAAGGAAATACCCGGGATCCTAGTCGGTTACGATTGTATTTTATTTATAATCTCATATTCCGTTAGGGATATGGACTGTATTTTGTAATACAGACCCCTTCCCCTATATAAGGAGAGGTCCGGGTCCCTTTTGGGACACGATTTTTCTCCTAGATCATACGATCAATAACACACTCGGCGGATCAATCCCCGGACAGGAGTAGGGTATTACTTCTTGAATAAGAAGGCCTGAACCTGTATAAAATTCCTTGTCTCCAAACCCATCTACTTTTCCAGCTTGATAGCCACCCTCTTTTAGTATTGCCGAAATCTTGTTTCGACAGTTGGCGCGCCAGGTAGGAGTAGCGTCAAGTTCTTCGCCGACTAGTACGATGGGTTCTGTCTCCGGCATCGACGACTTCGTCTTCCCTCCTGGGCAGGCGTTCCGATTCGGCAGCCTCGACTTCATCACCAAAGACTTCGGCAAGATTTCTCTCCTCGACTCGGATTCAAACTAGTCGGGAAGAGGTCGGATCTCCGCTCCGTTCGGTATCCCGAACTCAGCCGAGGTCTACCTCAAGATCATCTCTCCCAAGTTGGCTCCAAACCATTCGGACGAGATCCAATCTACTCCAACACGACCAGATCAAGATGATGGGTCCTATCCCCCAATCCTGATGAGACTCCCCGATAATCTAGCTGTTGTCTTCACAACCAAGGCGTCTCCCACCCGAAGACCTAGACGGGGTCCGGCTTCGGCACAGATCCGATCTAGGTCTAGGGAGGTCGGCGTCATACTCCAACCTCTCGGGACAGTCTCGATGGAAGAATTGGATGGCTACCTCAGCTCCCCCGGTGTCAGTTCCCAACCAACGGAGATCCTCGAGTACGACGACTTCGGCTATCACTACGACTACGGCAACTTCGACGACTTCGACGATAGCTACGAGGATGACTACACACCCCTCTTCTTTGGCGTATTCATGGCTGACAATGAGACGGCAGAACAGCGCCGAGCCCGAGAAGCGGAAGAAGAACGCACCCGACAAGAAGCTGAACGTCGCCGACTGGAGGAAGAACGACAACGACAAGAGCAAGAACGACTACAGCGTGAACAATAAGATCGCGAACGGGCTGCAAAGGAGGCTGAGGATCGACGACAGCACGCCTTGGAATCTGGACGACGAGCACGTGATCTCATCGGACAACAAGACGTCGACGGGACAGCGGTTTTCCGCACGTCCCAGCAAAACTCGGTTGCAGCGATCACCCTCCTCGACACCCTCCTCAAGGAAGATGCACTCAATCAGGCCGATCACGTCGTCAACATCTTGAATCAGACGAAGACCATGATCGCCGCCTCGGTCCCGGCTAACTCCGCAAGCACTCGCACGCCGACTGGCAGCCGAGTTCCCGCTCTCCGATCTCAAGATTATCACCAACCAAGCCTCAGCATTGCCGGCGCAGGATCCAGTCGCAGGGGCAGGGGTCGCGATGAGCGATCCATCCACTCACCTCCCGAACGACATAGGGAGCGCCGAGGTGAACGACCTCACAGGCACCCCATCGATCTTCGCGAAACTATCAACCAGCACCGTGCGGCAAGAGGCTATGCTACGCACCGTTCACCAGACCGCTACGACAACGACGTGAATGGAGTTGCTGCCTTCACAGCCGACCTGCGTCGAGTGGATTGGCCAGCCGGCTTCAAACCGACTGGAATCAAGAAGTATGATGGCACCACTAACCCGGAGTCTTGGCTCACCGTCTACGGGCTCGCAATCCGCGCAGTAGGAGGAGATAGCAAGGCCATGGCGAATTATCTGCCTGTGGCCCTAGCGGATTCCGCCCGGTCCTGGCTCCACGGGTTACCGCGTGGCACAATTGGATCTTGGGCGGAACTTCGCGAACACTTCATCGCCAATTTCCAGGGCACCTTCGAACGCCTTGGTACCCAGTTTGATCTCTACAACGTTGTCCAGAAGTCTGGAGAATCCCTGCGAGATTACATCCAACGTTTCTCTGAACAGCACAATAAGATCTCCGACATCACCGATGACGTCATCATCGCCGCCTTCACCAAGGGCATTCGCCACGAAGACCTAGTCGGCAAGTTCGGGCGTAAGCCTCCTAGGACAGTCAAGCAGATGTTTGAAAAAGCTAATGAGTACGCCAAAGCCGAAGATGCTATTTCTGCGTCCAAACAGTCGGGCACCACCTAGAAGCCGAAGAAAGATATGCCGACTACTGGAGGGAGTGGAAGTACCAGTCACAAGGATCGCAAGCGTAAGCCCAAGGAGCTTGTGGCAACTACTGCACCATCCTCCCGACAACGTTCGCGTATCAACACCTTCGATAAAATCATGAACTCTCAATGTCCGCAGCATCCAAATTCTAACCACGCAGCCAAAGATTGCTTCGTCTACAAACAATTTGCAGAGCAGTATGCCAAGAATACACGCAAAAGTACTGACGGAGATAAAAGTACGTCAAAGAAGAAGGATGACGAAGACGATGCCCCGACTGGTTTTCAAGACCATCGCAAGGAACTCAACCACATCTTTGGCGGACCCCTGGCCTATGAATCCAAGAGAAAACAAAAGTTGACTGAAAGAGAGATCAATGCTGTCCAGCCCAACACGCCCCAATATCTTCGGTGGTCAGAAACGACAATCAAGTTTGACTGCTCGGATCATCCCGACCGAGTGGTCCACCCGGGGCGGTACCCCCTAGTACTAGACCTAGTGGTTCGCAACGTCAAGCTCCGCAGATCCCTCATCGACGGTGGCAGTGCACTCAACATTCTTTTCGCCAAGACCCTGGACGACATGCAGATCCCTCGTGAAGAACTAAAGCCAAGTAACGCGCCCTTTCACGGAGTCATCCCAGGGCTATCTGCTATACCACTCGGCCAGATCACTCTTCCGGTTACTTTTGGCACTCGGGAGAACTACCGCACGGAAAACATTTGTTTCGAGGTTGCTGATTTCGAGACGGCGTATTATGCCATACTCGGTCGACCGGCGCTAGCCAAGTTCATGGCCGTTCCGCATTATACCTACATGATGATGAAGATGCTGGGTCCTCAAGGAGTCATATCCCTTCGGAGCGACATCAAGCAAGCCATCACGTGTGATAAGGAAAGTTGCGAGATGGCCCAGACCCGTGAGATCGCGCTCTCCCGAGAAGAAATCCGACTGGCCGCGTCCGCAGCGGGCGAAGGAGAAGTGCCTGCAACCATGGTGCCCAAGAGCGGAGAAAGCAATGCCAAGACCAAAAAGATTCCTTTAGATCCCTCTGATCCTACTAAGACCGCTGTAATAGGCGCTGAGTTAGATTGTAAATAGGAAAGCGCGCTCATCACCTTTCTTCAAAATAATAAAGATATCTTTGCGTGGAAATCATCTGATATGCCTGGTATTCCTAGAGAGGTGATTGAGCACTCTTTACATGTTAAGGAAGACGCTAAACCCATCAAGCAACGACTCCGCCGTTTTCCACAGGACAGGAAGGACGCAATCAAGGAGGAATTGACCAAGCTGTTAGCAGCGGGCTTCATTAAAGAAGTCCTTCATCCCGACTGGCTGGCTAACCCAGTCCTGGTTCGGAAAAAGACGAGGCAATGGCGCATGTGTGTCGATTACACCGACCTCAACAAATCTTGTCCCAAAGATCCTTTTGGGTTACCTCGCATTGACCAGGTAGTTGACTCAACGGCCGGCTACGAGCTACTCAGTTTTTTGGATTGCTACTCAGGATATCATCAGATCCGACTAAAAGAATCCGATTGCTTGAAGACCTCATTTATTACGCCTTTTGGGGCCTACTACTACATCACCATGCCCTTTGGATTGAAAAATACGGGAGCGACCTATCAACGCATGATTCAGAGATGTTTTTCAATCCAGATCGACCGCAATGTTGAAGCTTATGTTGATGATGTAGTCGTCAAGACCAAGCAGAAGGATGACCTGATTGCGGATTTAGAAGAAACCTTTGCAAGCATCCGCGCTTTCAGGATGAAACTAAACCCTGAAAAGTGCATCTTCGAAGTACCGTCAGGGAAGCTGCTTGGATTCATGGTGT